GAAGTTCATAAGGAATACAACAGGTTTTACCATCCATCAACAAGAACAACCTTTTTTCAACTCACGGAAACTATAACCCTGACAATGACTTAGAATTTCAACTTCAATTAGGTTCAACATTATTTCCTGAGTATCCTTGTAAAAGCTTAACACAAGCGCTCTATTATCTAAGAAAAGCATTGAATTTACCTCTATTTCATCAACATCACTTATCTCTTGAATTTAATCAATATAAAACAGACAAGTTCATCTTTGCTATGAAAATGGAAAAAGTGCCAGATAGTAGTTATACTGGAATTAACACAAAAGCAGGGCAACAACTACTAATCCGTGTTAAACCTTCTGGAAGTATGGACACAGATTTTATGCCAGACACGATTTACATAACCTTAGTATCAGAACAAATACTTTCGATACGTGATGCAGGTTGCCAGATACTTGATTAAGAATACGTAAAAATGATTTTTTCAAATAAGTAAATATTGTCATTTTCTACTCTGAATATTTATTGCCTTCAATAAATTTAAAAATCTTTGACAATGTTGCAGCGCACACAATTAGCGAAATCAATTTTACAAGCGGGGTGACAAACATTAGAAACATATATGCTAATCAATCAGATAAAACTGATTTACTCGACAACAAAGCAGACCAAGTAGATACTTGCACAAAAGCACAGATTGACGCTAATTTTTATGATAGAACTCAATCATATAATATGACAGAAGTTAATGTATTATTAAATAATATTTGTTCAAATGCGTATTTCATTATGAACAGTACAGCAACCATAGCAAGTAATTTAGTCAACATTTCATCAAATACATGTTAATAGGTAATCTTACAATAACTTCAAATACAAAATTTAAAGATATTTCATCTAACACACATTTAATCAATAATTTAAATTCTACTATGACATTTAATTTGTATAATATTAGTTCTAATACTAATACAATTAATACAAACTTTAAGAATATTTCATCAAATACACATTTAATAGATAATTTAAATTCTACTATGACATTTAATTTTAAGAATATTAGTTCTAACACTAATTTAATTAATACAAACTTTAATAATATTGCATCAAATGCACATTTAATAAGTAATTTAAATTCTACTTTGACATCTAATTTTAATAATGATACTTCTAATTCTCATGTAATAACAGGATTAAATAGCACCATAAATTCACATATTACAGCAATATCAGATTTACAAAATGGAGGTTCGTTTGATAGCAGTCTATATTATAATAAAACATTAACGGATAATTTATTATCAGAGAAGTTAGATACATCAACTTTAAATAATACAAAAATACACAATATAACAACTACTGCAACGTTTAAAATAGCAGAATTTGGAAATTATAATAATTTCTTTGAAACGTATAATAATTATTTGGATAGTTATGTTTATGGAAGTTTGACAGGTTCAACAATGTTTTTAAACCAACGAGGTTTTGGACATGTAGAAATTACTAATTCTTCAACTTTTCAACATGATAAAATAATTTGAAATTATAATACTACGATTTTAAGTAGTTTTACAAGTGTCAGGTTTATTTTCTTGTTCGTCTAGTTTCAATATAGCAGGTTCAGATGCTCGTTATATTTTACAATCAGATAATTTAGCAGGATTGATAGCAGGAAACACAAATACAATTAATTCAATAATTACTATCACCAATTCACAAGATACATCATTAGGAAAAAAGTTAGACAAATTAGATACTAACCCTCAATCAGTAGCAGGTGCTATTAATTTTCGTGATAATACAACTTTACACAGTAATTTAAATATGTTAACTACTGGAAGTATAATATGCAATAAGTTTAGCACTACATCGTCGCCTAATTTAGGATTGCAAATGACATTTCAAATGTTCAATCGCGAATTTAAAATTAATCGCGACGGTCGGATGTGGATGAGTAGTTCGGGAAGCGTTTGGGAAACCCAAATCGGCGACTCTAATGTTGGCAGAGTGTGGGTTAAGGATAGGTTTGGTTTAGGTGCTGTTGGTGTTAATGGTTCTGTTTTAAATTGTGCTGGCCAAACGAGATTTACTGATGCAGTGCAGTTTATAGGAACTGACAAGGCAGTAAATCTTAACAATGGTTCATATTTGAATTTTAATAATAATGGTTCAATACGAAGATATACACCAGATGCCATAGAAGGTCTATATATGTCTCATAATGATTTCGTTGCCATTAGTGTTGGCGATGTTAGTAATGCTTCTAATCAATATATGATGTGTGATGGATTAGTTAATAAAACTATTTTTAATAAACCTGTTGATGTGTTAGGTAATATTTATACAAACTCCTCACAGCAATTGACATCCAATCTGGGATGATCATGGCCACCAACACGCTGCTACAGCGCTTCCTCATTTGTGGAAGAACATCGCACGCCATACTACTGTCAGATCAGGAGGGCTTCCTGACAGCTTTGTTGGCCGCAACAGTTGCAAGCAAGAATGGCGACACAGGAGCGCAGGAGCACACAGTTCACAATCTAGAAAGAGCACACAGGACATTGTTTTGCGGAAATCAGAACACTCAAGGCGCAGATCAGGCATAACTACAAAAGGGATATTTTAACGGAACATCCACTCATGCCCTGGGTAGTTCGACGCAGCGCGCGCATCATGAACAGATATGCAACCCGCAGCGATGGATGAGCAAGCTACTTCAACAGGTGGACGAGAGAACAACGCGCCACTTTGCAAGCTTGGTGAGACAGCGCAGTACATGATGCCTACAATCAAACAATTTCCAAAGCTCGAGCCAAGGTTCTTTACAGGGACCTAGCTTGGCAAGGGTACAACCGCAGTCGAATGCATCATTGGGATTTATAACAGGATGGTCAGAGCAAGGGCAACGAGAAGGCAGGTAACGCACCACAAGCACAACCAACAACTACTGGACTGTGTGAACCCAGGCCCATGGAAGACACCAGCATCAACATTGCCTACACGGACTCTTGCAACACCAGTGACAATGCCAGCAACAGGCAAGGCGCCTACCAGCAGAAGGCAAGAGACAGAGCGCAAGCAAAGTAGAAGAAGACAGCTAGGCCAACATCACCAATGGCTACATCACCAACACATCAGTGGAGTCAGAAGAGACCAGCGTTGCCAGCACTACCGCCTACCTCACTTACAAGAGAAGGATGACGCAGTTGCAGAAGCCAGCGCTGGCAAGCAACAACGCACCACAGCAGAAGGACAAGCTCTGGCACGACCTACAGCAACACAACAATTAAAGGGCAAGATGAGAATCAATGCCACCAATCTTACAGCAAATGGAGACCGCACCCAACGAGGACATACAAGTCAAAACGAAAGGGCCCTACTGGAGCCAATCGCACATGACACAGAAGGCTTGGACCCACAACTGGTGTCACAAGGCATGAAGAACCAAGCAGAATAGAAAAGTGTATGAAACTACCAGAAAGGGTTCAAAGAAAAGGCGTGCGTGAATATGAAGAACCTAGATGATTTATGTTTCAAACACTGACATCTCCTGCGCAAACCAACCAGTTCCACACCAATGCCAGTGTGAGAAGTACTCTCAATATGCAGAACAATGGTGTACTTGCAAAGAGTATGTCGTGGTCTGCAACAGGTTCTGCGTAGCCTTTGGCTACAATTCGTGTTCGTACTTCGTTGTGCCTTTGTTTGAGAACCCTTCGTGATTCAATGATGGTTGCTTGTTGTTCTGGTGACATCTCTGTAAAGACTGAATGGCCTTTCATCTGCTGTGTTGGCTTTGTCGTAGTGCATGTGTTTTAAAGTGGACTTTGTCTGTTATAAAACCTGACCTCGCGAGCTCAGAGTTTTCAATTTGTAACTCAATATCTTTTGGCATGTTGTCCAGCGCCATTTTCAAATCAGTATTGTTTAGAATGTTGTGTCTTGTGCTTCTGTGCTTCCAATTTTGCTTTTTCCAGGCATTTCGATAGTGTTGTATGTTGGTTATTCTGTGTGCGTTGGCATCACTTTGCAATGCTGAACATGTCTCTGATGTTTCCGCTCTTGCTCTAATTTATTTCTGGATTGTGTTGAATCTTCTGATTGTATGTGGTGTTTTTTTTAGAATGGGTTGCATAGTTACTGGATAACAAACAATCAATGACAGAACCCGCGCTGTATTCCCCTGCCACACATCTATACAGTGTAAGAGACCATCGCACTGAGCTCTCACCACCAAAGATGATCTCACTCTCGTCAACCCGTCACAAAGCGAAATAACACACAATCACAATGTGACCCAAGTGAAGCATCCCAAACACACACACAATACACAACCTTGTCTTGTCTGAAATGTTTTGATTTGCATGATGTTCACATTTGCTGTGCCTGTAATCGCGTTGTGCCTTGTGATGGCGCTCCGGTGTTGGTATCGTATGACAACTCTGTTGTGGTTGCACAAGAATAGATTGAGCCGAACTCCATGACATTCTGTTTCAAAGCCTTCAAATGATTCACGTAGGCTGATGTCTTTGACGATGACATTCATTGCGGGAACGATCTTGTTCTCGGTGTATGATTTCTGCTCCAAGTCCCTTTTGCGATAGTTGAGCTCATCACCCGACAGCTGACGAAGACTTTGCTTGATGGCATCACTGATTTGTGTGAGTAGTGCTCGCTTCATCTAATTTCTCACGAATTTGATTGTTTGCTTGTTGAAGTCATGCTGGTAGTGGTTTATCAACAGTGTCCTCCGAATCTTCAAAGATGTAGCGTTGCTCATGACCTTCAAAGATTTTTGCGCCAGCGTCTTCGCCGCACCCTTCTTCGGGTATGATGGTAAGAGGCCTTTAGAATATGAGGTTTCGCGTAGTTTGTATGAAGAAAGGTGAACACACATATATATATATACATTATATATACATTATTTATATATATATATGTAATACATTTAAATGCATGGATCCAACAGTTACAAAATATCGACATCTCCGTTTCGTGGGGCCCTCTTGGCAAGGACAGCGCCGACGTGGAGCTGCAGCAGCGAGCCGTCGAGCTGCTGCAGCTGTGCCGAGACGAGGACCCTTTCTGTCCGTGACGTATGTGACGAAACCTCTGACAGACTCTGACAGACTCTGACTCTTGCAAGTTGTGTGTTCCTTGCGCGTCACCCGTCAGGAAAAGCTTGATGAAGTTCTTGCGCCGATGCCAGCGTGCGCTTGGGACACCCCAAGCGAGCAGGAGCAATATGCGGCCAACTGTGTCACATGCAGTCACGAGTCACATGCAGGTACGCTGAAAGCGTGCAGCGGAACAACCCGCTGGCCTGGTTTTCAGTTGTAGCATGTGTGGTCTTTGATCCTGTCACCCGAATCACCCTGCAAGGTGCAGCGGCTCAAGTTCTCCTCCAGGAATCGCGCTCACACCCGGGCCCAGCTGGAAGAGGCTGCTCGGAGCGAGGGCGGCATGTACAAGTCCGCAGGCGCGAGCTTTGGGTTGGACCATGACGGCCGTACGTCGCCATACGTCGGCCATACGTCGGCCATGTGTGCAGGGCGGCGGGAGGGGGACGGCCGGCCCTTGGACTTGCCGGACCCGGAAGGCCCTTCACGAGGCATGCGACCGCGCCTCGCAGCCTCACATGCCTCGCATGCCTCGCATGCCTCGCATGCCTCACATTGCCATTGAGTCAATTAAACCGCGCAGGTCCTTCCAGGAACGCTCAGGCCGCGATCGGCAAGTCGGCACGTGTGAGTTTGCGCCGGCCAGGTGTCAGAGCCCTTGGCTTGGCTGTGCCCCGGAGAAAGACGGAACGACGCAAGACGGTATCCCTCAGGTCGGAGTCTTCGGATTCGGAAGACGAAGGCGGTCAGCCAAATCGGCGTTTCAGCTGTCTGATGTCGCGTTTTCGTGAATCGCAGTTGATCATGTCAAGTGACTACAGTCATAGGCGACACACCGTGAGCTGATTCGGAGCCCCGTCAGATGTCCCGAACGGCCACGCAGCCAGCGCAGCAAGCGCAGCCAGCGCAGCCAGCGGGCCGAACCCGAAGGAGACTCCTGTGTCGCCAGGAGTCTCTCCCCATGAGTCTTCGATGTCCCACAAAAAGGTCCCAGTTTTGACAGCCCCACGAGTTGCCTTGCGGCTTGGGAAACCTTCAGACCGTGAAGCTCGCAGGTGCGATGAATGTCAGGTTTGTGTTTTCAGCTGATGTCATGGGTGGTCACGTGGATGTTGTGGGCGTGCTAGCATTCTTTGTGCGTTGTCCTAATTTGTCTTGTTGGTGTTGGTCTTCTTATTCTGCTTCCGCATCCCACTTGAACTAGAGAGCACAAGACTCTGCTTCCTGTGTTGTTCAGGGGAACACACTCTCATTTGGGCACCTCCGCTGACTTGTGCAAAGTGCGGGGTGCAAAGCGCAAGGCGGGAAGGCCCTTCGAGCGCATGTAACGAGCGGGGAGCAACGGTAGTTTGAGGAGAGCAAAGGTGAAGTGCCACCAAGAACGCCAAGATGCGCGCCCAGCGAAAGCGGCAAGTGTTTGTGGTGACATGCCGGCGAACTGGCACACATTGGACGGAGCAAAGACACAGTCGAGCGGCCCGTAATTTCGGCCCAGCGACCCGAATGGCCATTGTTTCCACATGTCACGTTGGCTGTTTGTTTGCTTTGCTTGGAGTATTAGCAAGAACCGAACTCCCGCTCGACCGCACCTCTGACACACATGCTCGCCTGCCCGCTAAAAAGCGTGGGTCGTGTATGAACGGTTCATGACTTCGGATTGACACTCACCAACACTAGGATTGCAAAGTCCCTCTCCAAAATTCAGGTTGCGATGCACGACAAACTGCAACAAAACGTGTTGCCTTGCATGAGATTGTGAGAAACCTGCATGAAAGCAGGATGTGGCAGTTGGGAGACAACATATATTGAATGACACCACTCGTCATTCTATATGATTCTATTTGTTGCTCGTTGACGGCGCCTTCTTTGAAGAAAGCGTCGGACCCGGTGGACGGGTAATAGAAAGGTATGGAAGAGAGATGAAGAGATAGACATGAGAAGGGAAGAGGAAGGATATGTGTAATGAAGAAATGATTCCTCTTCCTTCTCTTTTCCCTGTCTGTCATCTCTCTCTTTCACGTCACATATCTTCACTCCACCTTTCACCTCTTGATCAAAAAATAGGTGGTGAAAGGGTGGGAAGATAAAGCCATGACCACATCCCCTTCCTTTCTCTAGTTAATTCTGTATTCATAGATTGGGGATGTGGAAGGACAAAGTTAAAGAGACAGTGAGATGACAGAAGATACATAGAATGGAGGTAATTAGAGATGTTTAACCAGTCTTTCTTATCTTAATGAGGCATGGATCCATCTCTTGGAAGTAACTTTTGGATGATTTCCCAACGGATAGACATGTCCCTCTCCTTCCTCTTTCTAAGACTCACTGTTGTAACGACCTAGCTCTCAGTGCTTGAACAAGAGTTAGGACACATAGCGGTCAAGCGGCGAGTGAATGATAGGCAAATAGGCCATGAGATACAGAGAAGATAAAGAGAGGATTTACACAGATTCATATTCTTTTATTATCCTTTCCAATATTATTTTGCCTATCTTTTCATTATTTGTTGTAAACTTTAGAATGTTGGACATTAGTATATTTTAAAATACATAGCTTTATGATTGGCATTTTTTCGAAATCTTATGGTTATTTGTCTTTAGTCTTTTGTGATTTACTTCTTCTTCCTTCTCCGTTCGCATCTTCACTGTCTCTCCGGCATTAACTTTTCATCCACAATGTGATTCCAACAATAAAAGAATGAACAGAGAGATTAAAAGAATGCCGGAGAATCCATAGGAGAAGGAAAGAAGAAACCCTAAGGTTTGACCGTTCATTGACCCGTCTGGTGACCTAACTGTTGACTCTTGGATCCGTCCGGCCTCTTCTCTATCTCAATCTCACGGACGGGCGTCTCAAGAACTAACGACTGGCGAAAGAAAGAGCCACGAAAGGAGTTAGTGAGTGACCGAAGGGATGAGGTGTGTGGAAGAACATGAATGCCTCACAGAGAAGCAAATGGAGAGGCATTCCTTCCCAGTCAATCATCTTTCATCATCTCATTCCTCCTCCAACCTCTACCAGCTCCTGACGGACCGATTCCACCGTCCTCCACACTCAACCTCTACCTGTCACCGAAGGTCCTCTCTTCCCCAGCATTCATTAAGATTAGAATTGCAGGGAATTAGAGTCAGATGATGGCATTCTTCTTTCCTTGTCATTATCTCCTGCCCGCCAGCCTAGTCTCTCAGCCGCTGGACGGAGGTAATTCCAGCCATTAAAAATTCAGAGAATTAGCAGATACAGATGAGACTCAAGGAGAAGTAAAATGATAGCATATATTATATGCTGTCCATTCCTTTTCCTTCATTTGGTTGCCTTCGGAGTTTTCTTTGTGAGTCATTTCGTTCCCAAGCCAAAGGCTTACCAAAGGACAAGGAAAGGGAAAAGGAATGACCCAATCTGTTTCTCCATCTCCTGTCTCTCTAATTTTGGATGAGGAGATGGATTCCGAAAAGAGATTGGGAAAGGAATAGACAGATAATGGGAAAGGGTGGGAGAGATAAAAGATAGGACATGTTCACCCTTTCCCTGGATCTCATCCCATTATCTGCTATCATTCCTCTCTGCTGTGTCTCATGGAATCTTCGCCAGGCGGTAAAAAGAGATGACATGAGAGACGGAGAAGAGAGCATCTTTCCTTCGTCCACCTTGTTCACGAGCGAATGCGGTGGGACGTGGAAAGAAGGAAAGGAAGCGGCTCGTCTCGGGTCCATCGTATCTGTTGAAGACAACTCTTCTCGCGGGAGCGAGGAGAAGGAAAGAGATGCCCGGTCGTTCCATCGGACCCCTGCCTTTCCGGCGGGTTTATCCTTTCTCATTTCCCTTCTCCATTTCCCGAGTTCAATCGACAGTGGAAGGAAAATGAATGCAAGCTAGAGAGAGAGAGAGAGAGCCATCCCTTTTCCTCTTCATGTCTTCCCCAAATCCAGAAGGGACAAATGTAAAGACTGGGAAGACATGAAAGACGAAAAGAGGAAAGGGATGGAGAAGGGAATGACAGGGGAATAATGGAGTGAGGAGAGCGGGTTAGAGAGTTGGTCCGTCCGTCATTGACGGTTAGCCGATCTCTCTCTCTCTCTCTATCATTACCTTCCGTCTCTATGTATTCCTTTCCGAACGACGGAGCGGCTTCAACTGTGCCACGCAGTGAGGGCAGGTGAACATGCTTGGCAACCTGCCGGGATTGTGTGTTTTCGCTCAGTCTTTTGGTCCAGGCAATCGGGCCTGACCTTGGGGGGACTTTGGGCCAGACTTCCAATATCTTTAGACAAGTTAGCTTTGCGTTTGCTCATGGGCTGCCGATGGACAAACTTTGGAGCAGGCTATTCTGCACAAACCCTGTACCCCGCATCAGTGTAGGTGCAACTGCAAAGCTGCTTCAAGATTTCAAGAAAGCGCGTGGGAGTTAGGGCAGGTGGGCGCTGTTTTCTGAGGCGACCAGGGCAAGCTGGTTAGCGTCGAATTTCATCCAAATGAACACCGCTTTCGTATCTGAGGGTGAGCAACCGCTGCAATTGTGTGCTATGTTTGGGTCTTGAGGAGATGCAACTTTCTTGAAGCACGAAGCCGCAGCGCACTCGAGCATGCACACGCATACACACTCACATCGCACGCACAACACAAACATTCACACACACACACACACACACACACACACACACACACACACACACACACACACACACACACACACACACACACACACACACACACACACACACACACACACACACACACACACACACACACACACACACACACACACACACCACACTA